CAAGATCCTCCATCTTCAATGTCTTCCATCCAGCTAAGCCAGCTTCACTTCTCACCAGGGATCATCTCTTAACATCCAGATTCACCTACCAACTCACAAACATGCATAATCCCTGGAGCAATCCATACTCCACCTGATATCCAGAAGTACTTTTTAAAATACTGTGATCATATTTAAGCTCTGTTTAAGCTCTCCCTTTGGTTTCCTGTTGCTTTCAGAGTAAAGCCTCAAGTCATTAACACGGTTTACAAAACAAGTCACACTCTTTTCCCTTTTGTTTTCTAATTGGCAATCACACAGGATTTTTCTCCGGTCCTCAAATGTTCCTGGTACACATCACACACTCTATTTTCCCCACACAACTGAGCACAAGCTGCTCTCTGACTGTACCCCACTTTCCCTACCTGGCCAAGTTCTATGTATCCTATTACTACCAAGCATGGTTGTGATGTTTAGTTAATACCTATAAAGCACATAGTCTGCATTATATAGTTGTTATCCATATATGAAGGCATTAGAGAAGCCTTTCTTAGCCTTCAGTCTATGTTAAATCGCCCTGTTATGTATATTACCATTGAATCAAATCTCTTTTCAGATCCTTCAACTCCTTTTCATTCCTTTCTCTATGTCCTCCCTTCACACTCAACCATAAGCTCCAGGAGAGCAAATGCTCTGTGTTCACCACTGAATCTCTAGTGCTGGAAAATAGATGTTCAATGAATATTTGTTAAGTTAATGAAGAAATAAATAATTACTCCAGCTTCAACCATGCATAATTTGGAGGAATTTTCATATGAAAATATTTTATTAGAAACTGAAAAGAATCTAAAACCAAGGATGACTGATGCTGAGAAATCATCTTGAGAGACACTGACCTAAAGATGAAAGTGGAAGAGACTGAAATTACTCCAAAGCAACAAATAGCAGGCAGAAAAGACACACAAGAGCCATTTCTGGCCAGTATTGGTGGCTCAACACCCATAATCTCAGCTCTTTGGGAGGCCATGGGAGGAGAATTCCTTGAGCCCAGGAATTCAAGACCAACCTGGGCAACTTAGTGAAAGCCTCATGTCTATAAAAAATAAATAGCCAGCTGTGGTGGTGCATGGCTGTAGTCCCAGATACTCAGCAGGTTAAGGCCAGAGGATTGCTTGAGCCTAGGAGTTTGAGGTTGCAGTGAGCTGGGATCCCACGATAGTACTCCATCCTGGGTGACAGAGTGAGACTTTGTCTCAAAAAAAAAAAAAACCAAAAAACAAAAAAAGCCACTTCCATGGAAATACTAAGATGTATTTTATGGGCTGGGAGATAAACAAGAAAAAAAAATTACTATGAGAAAAGTTACAGAAGAAAGGAGTGGGAAGGTGTGCCTGAGGCCCCAGGAGAACATTTCATGGGGGAGTAACTACAACCCTTTGCTAAAACATAGCAATGTAGAATGGGAACTGGAATCCCCTGTAATTTGAGTGATCCTATGCCTGTGAGATACGGTGGTGCGGCAGGGGAATTAATGTATCCTACAAGCAGTCCTTAACTGACAACTGTTGGATATGTTAGAAGAGTGTGTGTGTGTGTGTGTGTGTGTGTGTGTGTGTGTGTGTGTGTGTGTGTGTATGTGTGTGTGTTTTGAGACCGAGTCTCACTTTGTTGCCCAGGCTGGAATACAATGGTGTGATCTTGGCTTACTGCAATCTCCACCTCCCAAGTTCAAGCAATTCTTTTGCCTCAGCCCTCAGAGTAGCTGGGTCTACAGGAGCACACCACCACATGCTGCTAATTTTTCTATTTTTGTAGAGACAGGATTTCACTATCTTGGTCAGGATGGTCTCGATCTCTTGACATCGTGATCCACCCACTTCTGCCTCCCAAAATGCTGGGATTATAGGCATAAGCCACCACGCCCAGCCGAAATTTTGTGTTTTATGTGTATGTTCATTGCAGTACTAGTCACAATAGCAAATACATGGAATCAACATAGATGCCCATCAATGGTAGACTAGATAAAGAAAATGTGATAATATATCCTATGGAATACTATGCAGCCGCAAAAAAGAATAAGATCAGGTCCTTTGCAGGAACATAAATGGAACTGAAGGCTATTATCCTAAGTGAACTAATGCAGGAACAGCAAAATAAACACCACATACTCATACGTCAGAGCTAAAAACTGAATACACATGGACACAAAGGAACAACAACTCTGGGGCCTACTTGAGGGTGAAGGGTGGGAAGAAGGCGATGATAAAAAAAACTACATGTCGAATACGATGCTTATCACCTGGATGACAAAATAATCTGTACACCAAACTCCCATGACAGCAGATTTACCTATATAACAAACCAGCACATGTACCCCTGAAACTAAAAGTTTAAAAAAAAGAATTGTGTATTTTATACAGGCTCCCAAAGTTTTACCCTCTGTACTGGGATGAAGCTCCAGTTGGCAATAGCAGGGACCAGGTTGATTACAAATGTTTATAGGTTGTCTTCCCTTTCCTGCCACGCTTTCCAATTCTCCTATCAGCCTTTCCTTCACCTAACCCTTGGTCCAGGATCTGATCTCCTATAGTTTTTTCCTATAAAGAGCCCTAATGACTAAAGCAATTTTCATTGCAAATCAAGTAATTGGTGTTCTGGTTTATATCAGTTTGGTTCAGTCTTTTACAAGTTTGGGTCATGGAAGTCCCTTCCCCTAGGGCACAGGTAACTTGGTGTAGATGAGCCAAGAATTGGTCAAACAAGACCACTTCCTGAGATGTTATCTCACATTCCCAGGAATATTCGGTCTTATCTAACAGGCAGATAGATGGATCTATTTTCATCTTTGACTTTTCTCTCCAAAGTTGGAGAAAAATAGAGAGATTTACAGAGAGAAAAATATATAATTTAATGCCAAGAGAGATGTAATACATGTCTGCACTATCAACCATTTCAACCAAGTCACCAAAGAAGGTAGGCAAGGAAGCCCACGGGAGGTTGACCGTGCAAGTCAGAAAAAATGACAATAAGGTCCGGTACAGTGGCTCATGCCTGTAATCCCATCACTTTGGGAGGCTGAGGAGGGTGGATCATTAGAGGTGAGAAATTCGAGACCAGCCTATCCAACATGGTGATACTCTGCCTCTACTAAAAACACACAAAAAGCAGCGGGTGTGGTGGCACACACCTGTAATCCCAGCTACTTGGGAAGCTGAGGCACAAGAATAGCTTGAACCCAGGAGGCAGGGGTTGCAGTGAGCCGAGGTCACACTGCTGCACTCCAGACTGGGTGACAGAGTTAGACCCTGTCTCACACAAAACAAAACACAACAGAACAAAGAATGAAAAGAAAAAGAAAAAAATACAATGATAACAGGAGAAGAGACATGTAGATGGCACTTTCTAGGGGCCAAGCTTTTTATACATATATAGGTATATGTACATATACACACATACATATTGCTGTGAGAATTAAATGAGTTAATGTCTGTCATGTCTTAAACAAAAAGAGTAAAGTCTACATAGCTATTTCTGGTAACTAATACCAATGAAGGGAGGATTTAACCTAACAATAATATTGACATATTGTGAAAACACTTTGGTGTCACTCTAGGTAAAACTGTGGCATAAGGAACAATCTGTGAACTGAATATCAGAGCTGAAATTCTTGGTTGGCCATATTTTAGTTATGGGGTGTTAACTTCTCCAACCTCACTCAATTTTCCGTTTATGAAAGAAAAAAAAGTAGAAACAATCTCTTAGAGTGGCTGCTATGAAAGTGGCATAAGATAAACCACCCAGCACAACAGATATTTTAAGAATATACGCCTGGTGTTCCATTATTGGATGCTAAGCATTTGGGGGTTATTCATATCCTACTTCTCAAGGTCATCACCAAGGTCTGATTGCAAAAATTCAAAAAATTCCAACCTCAGGCATCAGTGGGTTAAAAGCACTTTTCCTCTCAACTTACAGAGAAAGGAAAAAAGAAAGTATTTTTTGTTAGGTTGCAAATTGTGTATTTTATACAGGCTCCTCTTACCATTGGTTAGAGAGAGAACAGGCAAATGATTGATTATTGTTATGGATAATAGATATACAGATAATAGATAATAGGTGATAGAGAGATAGATACATAGATACATATGATGGATGGTGCCTCAGCCTTCCATTAAGACACACATTCTACTACCGATTAGTTATTTTTCCTAATTCTCTTCCTCCTCCCACCCTCCACCAGAATGTAAGTAATAAGCCTATACATGTACCCCTGAACTTAAAAGACACACATTCTGTTTGTTTTCCCCAACAATAGTGCTCAATGCCTCAAAATAATTATCTTGAAAAGATATAATTATTTTCTTGTAATGTGATTCCATGTCCACATCACTTCATTTATACCAGAAACATGGAAAGATCTGTAATTCACATGCATCAACCTCAGCAATATGAATTTTTTCAAGAATACAATAATAATCTTGACCCATATTCCTCGCCATGGAGGTGCAGAGGTCAGCATTCTACTCCTGGGACTCTCATTTTTGTGGGTTACCTCTGCTCACTATCCTCTATCTGCCTCATTCTTTCCCTGGACAGTTTATCAATTCCAGGAAGCTCTTATTTGGGTATGAGAGTCTTTATGGAATCTGAGTGTATACCTCTTGTGATGTTAAATATAATCTTGCTGCATTTTTTTAAGTTTGTGGGTGATATTATACTTTCTCCTACCAATTTTTATAAATAAAGTAATGAAAATCATGTTAAAATGCTGACTTGCTACAAAACCTTTCACACTCAAAGTATCCTAGTTATTTAGATTCGATGATCTTCTATTGATAGTGTACTGTGTACTTTCACATGTCATTACAACCTAATTGTATATTTCTTTTAGGTTCGATGATATATTGCTTTCTGTTTATCTTATTTTTAACAGCAATTGAAAAAGGAAGAGTCAATAGAATAAAAAGGTAGGTAAAGCAAGTTGCATCCAGGTAGCATACAGCTATGAGAAATGCTACTACCTCCACAGACCACACCATCGAGGTCTTCACAGCGGCGATCATCGCACTCACAAGTCTTGCCATACACACGATGATCTCCTGGAGGGTAGCAGGTACATTTGCCACATTCACATTTACCTGTAAAGTAAAAAGAAAGTGCACACTTATGAGGAGAGTCAAAGATCACCAAACGTTTCAAGGAGGCAAGCACACTATTAAACCCAAATCTCCTAGAACAGTTCTAGTCTGTGCCTGATAATAGTTACACAAATACACATTTCCAACCTCCCTAAGGTAAGCTAAAGTTTAAGCATAAATACCATGGTGGTCTGGAGTGGAAGTGGCATTTGCTGGCTCAGAAGTCATTCACAGTTGCTATTCCCTAGTTTTTGTTTCATTCATTTTTGAATAAATCCATTATAAAACTCTCTATTTCATATTCAACTTCGCTTGATGCTTCTTTGAACATAACTTAATACATTACGTATATATATTGACAATATTTAGCAGAATGTGGTCATTTAAAAATACTTTAATCTTGGGTCTATCGTCTCCCTGAGAAACAAAATGTGCATACGTATATTTCAATGTGCTATTTTACTGATGTGATGTTTTTGTAGTCAATTTTATAGTACATATAACTCATTTTAGCATGGAACATACATCAAAGCACATAACCTAAATATCTTTATTATCCTTGTCTTAACATTTAAAAGTATGAATATTTTTTGGAATGAATTTGGTTCTTAGTTTTTGAACCCCTTGATTAGTCCCATTATGCTGAGTTTCATCATGATGTCTTAAGCAGTAACTATGTGTCAAACACTATAATTCCCTGCATGCCATCATTTCATTTTCAAATACCACATATTGACTGGAATCATTACAACCATTTTACTAAACAGGAAACTGAGACACATTAAGGCCAAGTGACTTTTCGATGGTGAACCAGCTAGGAAGAAATAGATTCAAAATTGACATTCATTCTCGTTAGCCTCAAAATTTGTGCAGCTAACCATTAAACCACATTGCATCTTAATATGTGTGTAATGCAGCATCAGAAGGCTATATGAGAAAGTAACTTTCTTTTGTTTGAGGAATCGCTACTGGCTTGCCAGAAATTCACTTGGGTGACAGTGCTCCGAGACATCTGTTACTCTCTGTCATTAGCCCAACCATCATAATTACACACCCACTGAAATAATCACAAGACGCTTCAGGGCTGACCTTGCAATGTTGTTAGTCACTCTGTTGCTGAACTTGTATCTTGTTAAAGAAATTCTGAGTTGGTAGATGATGGGGGAAAGAAAAATTAGTATTTAGGATTATATAATCTCAGGGCTGTAATTCAAGATAATCTAATGCAATGATTCATAATATTTTCTGGCTGACATGATGGGGTCATGATCCCTTTGAGAATCTGGTGAAAGGTGGTATGGCAATACAGTGTTGTGGTGGCTGCCCTTCAACTAATCTCTCTACCTGGAGATGGTCCCAAGTTCAGCAAGGGGCAGAGGCTTCCCTCCTTCAATGATAGTCCCTCTTCCTGTACCTTGGCAGCTAGAACAGGGACACATCAAACACCCTTGGTCAGGGCTTTGATTCTTGAGGGTGAAAGCAAAGGCACAGCACCTGTGGGCAGCATGGCAGTGCAACAGCATAGCAATGTCTGGGAGCTGTGAAACTCAGCATGCAGTGGCTGACATTCAGAAGTGATGGCAGCAGGAACTGGTTCTTGGCAGTGCCTTGCTTCCCCACATTGCTGCAGAAGCTAATTTTTCAAAGTTTCATTCTGAGGCTAAAGTCTTCTAATAAAATCTTTTTTTTTACCCCATTTAATGAAGTTGGTTTCTATTGTTTGCAATCAAGAACCCTAACTGGCAAAATTCAAATCTATCCCTGGAAAAATATACCAATACATATTTCTTTTGGTAAAATGTCAGAAAGGTCCATAACTTCCCTCAATTTATTTAATAGATGAGGAAACTCAGGCATGCTGAGGCTAAATGATTTGCCCAAGGCTAGCTATCTATTAGAAGTGTTGGTTTCAGTAACTAGATTTTCTGAACTCCAGTCACCTTCTGACATGCATAAATGCTCTAATCATTTTCATGGGTGGATGTGCAAATGATTCCAGTAATTCAGGCTGTGGAGAAAAAGCCAAATTGTGGTAGCATCAGCAGTGTAATCTGGTTATGGTGAGCTGTTCCTTCACAGACAGATGTGGGAAACCATGATCATCAGTTGCATTATTCCTGAGAGGCAATGCATTCCAGTTACATAGACAGAATCAGATTCTACATTTCAGGGAATACATATTTATGATGACACATTTATTCACATTTTGAGGCATATAGTAATTTTCCTGAATACACATTATTGGCTTCTGTGCTTCTTCAGAAAAGATGAACTAAACATTGGCATATGTGTTCAGATTTCAACATTCCATTGTTTTCATTGTGGATAATTTCTGTTCTATATTTTTGTACAAAGTTAGATAATAAAGTGTTAATATCCGGAGTAGGCACATTTTCTTTCCTGACAAATTAAAATTCACGTCTTTTTTAAATATCAGAGGATATATTAACCAATTTCCAATTCTTTTTTTACAAGGTATCTATTAGAGTTTTAAAATGACTAACATTAAGACAACTATGAGCTGAATTAACTTTTTGCAACACATCTCTAATACAGTTTATAAGATAAAATGGCTTCTGACAAAAGTCAAAAGTAGTGCCTTAGGATGGGCACAAAAAACAGAATTAGACATACTATTTAGTAGCAAAATAGGGTGACTACATTCAATAATAACTGAATTGTATATTTTTAAAGAACTTAAAAAGTGTAACTGAATTATCTGTAATTCAAAAGGATAAATGCATGAGGGGATAAATAACCCATTCTCCATGGTGTGCATATTTCACATTGTATGCCTATATTGAAATATCTCATGTCCCCCACAAATATATACACCTACTATATACCCACAAACATTTTTAAAAATTAAAATACAATGCATTAGGAAAGGCTAATTTATTGCAGACAGAGAGGTAAAAAGAGTAAATTCTGCAGGCACTCCATATTTTAAAGTATATTATTTTGCTGCCTCAGTTCACAACTTCTATGTAGCCACAACCACAAGTCACTACTAACTTTGTTTCAGTCACTATCATACACATGTCAGGTAAATTTCCAATCATTCTTCAAGGTTCAAAGAAAACTTCACCAAATCTGACATTGGCACCGTCCTACTCACAAACCTTCACAAACACAGCAGAATTAACTATGCTTCTTATATGTCCTCATAATAGTTTTCTGGGGGTTATGGGGGCCAGAGTCTTGCTCTGTCATCCAGGCTAGAGTTCAGGGAATGCAGTGGTGCAACCTTGGCTCAATACAATCTCCGTCTCTTGGGTTCAAGTAATTTTTGCGCCTCAGCCTCTTGAGTAGCTGGGATTACAAGCATGTGCCACCACATCCAGCTAACTTTTTTTGTATTTTTTAGTAGAGACAGGGTTATGCCATGTTGGCTAGGCTGGTTTCGAACTCCTGGTTTCAAGCAGTCTGCCTGCCTTGGCCTCCCAAAGTGCTGGGATCACAGGTGTAAGCCACCTCGGCCAGCCACTATAATGTTTTGAATCAATATTTATTGAACAGCTGTATTAAACAATAATCGTATATAAATACTTTAGAAATATTCTCACAATACATGAGCATTAATGGTAGAACTTGAATTTGAAACAGTGTATCTCTCCCAGACTAGATATTCATTTCCAATTACCTGAATACCTTCATTTGTGCTTTCCATGGTTAGATCAATTAAATATGTCCCATGGCAAATCCATCACCTGTATTCACAAACCTACTCCTCTTCTTGGGTCTTTTGTGAAATTTGACATAATCCTCTTTCTTAAAATATACATATGATTGTGTAATTCTCTTGCACAAATCCCTCTGATAGTCCCATGTAACCTTCAAAGCAAAGACTAGATTCCTAATAGAGTTTTCCGCACATGGTCCAATTTACCTTTTCAAGCATATATCCAGCAATTATTGTACGCTCACATTCACAGACTGTATGTTCCCTATTTCTTCCCTCTGTGGTGCACACCACCATTTTCTCTGTACAGTACTACTCGGTGTTCAATGACCAGCCCAAATCTAATCTCTTCTCTGAAACCTTCCTTTCCATCCCTGTTTGGTTACCTGGAAGAATTACCACCTCTCTGATCCCACAACCCTTTGTTTATACCGCTAGTAGAACACTGAATGCAAAGTTTAAACTAGATAAGTAAGTGCCTCAACCTAATGATAAGTGTCACTATGGTCCAGACTAACAGTGAGATTTGTAACTTCTTAGCAGCCAACTAAGTTCTCCCTTGATGTAGTAGAATGACACTGACGTACAGGTTTGTTGACTAGATTTCAGATAAGAAATTGAGTCCAGTTTTTAAATTTTGTTTAAAGGATATTATTATTTCAGTGATTGTTTTAATGTTATGGAGATATAACTGTGGCTTCTCAAATAACTACCAAAATAATATTCTTATACATGAGAAAGAAGGAAAATGGAAATCTACCTTTCTAGTACTGTGTTATTTTATACAATATATTTAAAAGAAAATCTAAAAGAAGAGATACTCAAAGAAATAAAAATAAAGCAAGTAATTTGCAGGAAGACAGTTCAGAAACAGAAAAGAGCATAGAAATAACTGTGAGCCGAAATTAATTCAGCCAAGATCATCAATATCATCCAATGAAAATTTATCTGAAATTTACTCTACATTGAGTCTGCCTACTCCTATTAAGTTTTAATAAAGTAGATAACTTTTAGGCACATACAAAATCATTCCAGTGATACCATTTTATAAAGAACTGCAATTTTTATGAATGATATTTTAAAGCTCATTATAAGGTATCAAAGAAGGATAATGAGCTAAGGCAGATTTTTAGAAGTTCTGATCAAAATAGATTTTACTTAAACAATTCAAACAGTTTCAGACTCTGAACTTGTGTAATACACAGAAAAATTTCAAGTCAAGATATAAGCCAAAAGTCCAATTTATAGCTCTATGTGCAGCTAATTATTTTGATAAAAACTCATTTAATTTAAGTCTCTAAATTTTTGTTTTCCCACA